GACTTTAATCGTACATTTACGTGAGCATCCGTACTCGATGTATTGGCATCCAGACTGCAATATTTCAAATCCTTTTTGCTACGGCAGCAACAGCAGAAAATCCAAACACTTAAAAGCGTACACGCTCGCAAAGCACACACATACACACACTTAACCAATTTCACTCATACATGTCACATCAAACTTAATTTCATTGCATTTTATAGTGTTCTCTTCTCTTCTCTTACATTGGCAAACACACAATATGTATGAGAGGGGTTCTATGTATGAGTGTGTGTGTGGGTGTACTATTGATCCAATAATAAGCGTATTTGTGTGAGGAGTACTGATAAATGTGAATTATATGTGAGTTGGTTTAGTTCCATTTATTAGTCCATAAAACAGTATCCAATTACAAACAGCACAACAACAAGAACAACAGCAGCAACATCACTGCTTTAATCACTGCCATAACAACAAAAACAATATGTTTAGATCGAATTTTCGAAACGTGCCATTGCAGAAAAGGTTTTTTTCAGTGACTAGCTAGCTGGCTGGTGCTCTGGCAGGTCTCTTCTAGTTTTGTGTCTAACCAATATTACAGATTGGATACGCTCTATTTGACTTGGTTATGGTAGAACGTGAAGGCAGCGGGAGTGACGGGGAGGGGGTTCCTACTGCTTGTATTGTTGTTTTTGAATTCACATAAGATTTAGGTTTTTGCTCTCGCTTCCGAGGGGTACCAGCAATCGAATTACGCGATTTATTATTTTTCATGTGAATCGTATTTCAAAGTTGCCATCAGATTTTTGCCATTTCTTTGCTATTGTCGTGGAATTGTTGTTCGAAATTGATGAATCACAATGGATTGGATGGAGAATAACAGTTTAGTTGGAGGATGTAATATGAGTTAGAATTTGCCATAAAACACTTAATGGCCTCTTATGTTCAACATGGATGTTTGCTTTCAAAGATAATAAATAAATTGTTGAGTTTTTAGATATGTAGCCTCGGATAATGCTTAAAGATTACAAAAGATTACAGATGTCGAATTAGGCATAATTTAACGTTTCTCTCCCTAAAAAGATGATGAACGATCTTGTATTTTGGAAATATGTTTATTTTTACGTTTAGCTTAGCCCGCAATTTTATTTTAAAAAATCTGCTTAACTTTAAGAGGCCTTTTTATGGAGTCGATATACAAGAAATTGCTAGGGGAAGTGTCAAAAGTTAGGATTTTTATAGAAATAAAAGATACATTATTATCATTTTACTGAGTTTTGATTTAGGCAGTACAATTAAAGGATTGAACTTTAGCCGGGTGGAGCAAACCATGGCTCAATTATAAGGTCAACAAGTAAGGCCAGCTGAAAACTACATTTAAAGTCAGCATAATTTAGTTTCGCTTTCTAATAAAATATGTGTCAAACATTTTTTTATTTACATTTACATGTCAAATATATCACAAAATAATTTGAAAACCAAGTAGCAAAACTACAGACGTGTGGGGCCGACCATCTGATACCCTACAACTCTACAATATGGTAAAAGTCCCCTTATGTCCAAATCAATTTTGGAAGATTTCACTTTTGAAATTATGTCATTGAGCACTGTCCAGATATTACCCTTAGTTTTTTGACTAGGGGCATTTGCCCAATATATACGCACTCCGTTGTCTTGTAAGTTTGTTTTGGTCCATTTAACAGCTAAGTATAATCCAATGGTCATCCAAAATGCTAGACTTTTTCCCTGCCCTTAATTCTCTTCTCAGGCGTGTCGATTGGCTTCAATTGTTTGATCATTAATTATACCCTCAGCCATATGGCTACAGAGGGTATATATCATTTGATACGGCCAAATCGTGCCTAGTCGAAATAACGGTTTTAGACTCTAGGTCTCTTTGGTTGAAATCCGTTTCAGGACATTTGGAGCCGTCCTTTGTCTGTCTGGCTGGTGCGCCAGACATCTCTCGAAGGGAGTATCCGATTTGATCCAAAGTTGGTACATCTTAATATTATTGTCAAACTTAAGTCGAGTTCGGAAATGGGCAATATCGGTCCACTCCTTCAGGTACCTCCCACACAAAATGTCAAAATTGTTAAAGAAAATAATTTATTGCACAGAAAGAGAAAGGATATTCCAATTTTGCTCCAACTTTGTAAGTCCTAATATTTGCTTCAGTGCTAGGTCAGGTGCGAAAATAGACATTATCGGTCCACTCCATCAGATACCTCCCCTCAAAGGATCAAAATTTTGAATAATTACAACTCTGATAAAATGTGATGTAAGAGTCCGATTGTCTTCAAATTTCACACATCCCAATAATTTTATTAACCCAAATTCGAGTTCGGAGATGGGTACTATCGGTCCACTCCTTCTGATACCTCCCCCCACAAAAGGTCGATATTATCAAAGAAAATAATTTCTCTGTGATCTATGTGATATATGAAATACAATCATATTTTACAAAGAACAAGTTAAAAAGTATCAGTCGGTATTACCTGTGTTCGATTATTTAAATATAATTTGACTAGTGTTACAATTATTCAAACGTTTGACCCTCTATGGAGCAGGTTCCGAAAGAATGGGCAAATATTGTCTATTTAGTATCGGACCCAAAAATATGATATAAATATTCCGACGTTCCTGGTATGGATTATATTGACTAACTCCTTCACTTATATGAGATATGTAATAATTTTTAGAAAATGTTAAAATGTGCGTGATGTAGAAGATAAAATCTACCGAAATATTCCACTTTTATACTTCATCTGATACAAATAAAAAATATTGAGCGAAATATTGGGCAACATAACAAGAAAGGATATTTATGTCCAATTTTATGCGAAATCGTAAATTCCGATAAATTTCATATTCATATCAGGCTTCTTATTGGGAGAAATAGTTGAACATAGCAAGTAGTAAAGAATTGTTAAATTGTTTCGAAAGTTATGACAGATAAAATTATTGAAAATTGTGACCCCAGAAGGGGTTGGCAGATATATATCAACTTCACAACAGATCTTGTGTTAGCAAAAATATTTGAAATTTGAAGAGAGTTGGATGTTTATTTCGCTTTATTTGAGCGTTTTGTTTTTCAAAATCTTGAACCCTATGTTTGGGGGAGAAGAAATGGTTCGATCTATACCACCTTTATAAGAGATCTTGTGTTGATAGAAATATTGAAAGTCTAAATGGAATCGGATGTTAATTTGGCGTTTTATGTCTTTATGGGTAGTCAAATTTTCGACACTTTGTGGGGAGGTACTTGATGGAGTGGACCGTTATTGTCCATTTTCGCACATGACCTAGCACTGATGAAAATATTAGGATTCGCAAAGTTCGAGCAAAATCGGATTATTCTTTCTCTTACTATGCAATAAAATATTTTCTTTGGAAATTTTAACATTTTGTGTGGGAGGTACCACAAGGAGTGGACCGATATTGCCCATCTCCGAACTCGATCTAAATTTGACAAAAAATATTACGATGTACCTAGTTTGGATCAAATCGGATACTCCCTTCGAGAGTTATCGTGCGCACCAGCCAGACAGACAGACAGACGGACGGACGGACATCGGTAGATCGACTCCAAATGCTCTGAAACGGATTTGGTCCAAAGAGACCTAGGGTCTAAGGCCGTTATTTTGACTAGTCACGTTTTGACCGTATCAAATGATATATACCTCGTGTACACATTTTTAGAAATTTATTGAACTGACAAGTACCTAAGGGGTTACGGTTTGCATATGCATTATCGGATAGCAACCAACAAGTTTTGGCGGTTTTATAAGGTTGGGAAAATAGTGAATATGGGTTCAAGATATAGAAATAGTGAATGCCCAATTTGGACCGATGTCATTCAAATTAATGATGAGTTCGCGACAAAATTGAGGCATGTTCTTATTGTGGCAAAGATAGTTTCACATTGGGATAGAGCCCCCATGCGTGTATGTTTCAACGATCTATCAATAACTCGCACGGTTTTAGTTGGATGGAGCATCATTCCTATGGAGTGCATATTTCAAATGTGCGGTACTTAAACACCAAATCAGATGAAACATATATATGGGAGCTATAGCTATATCTGAACCGATTTTCATTAAATTTAATGTACTTGATTCTAGACTGATTTTGTTCGGATGTGCCAAAATTCAGATCACTGATATTAGTCATTTGGTGATATTGGCCGAAATCGGTTGAAGATACACATGGGAGCTACATATATCTAAATTTGAACAGATTCTCACGAATTTCAATGGGGTTCGTCCTTGGGCCAAGCAAATATTGTTTGCAAAATTTCATCTCAATCGGATAATAAATGCGACCTGCATTTTGTTCACAAAAATACGTGGACAGACCGACGGACGGACCGACATGCAGGCAGGTTAAGATTTTGACTCATTTCCCATAGATGTCTTTTTCAAATCGAAATAATTTTGAATTTCAGGCAGTCAGGAATTTCAGAGGTCAGCTAGTATTAAGTAGCAGTTCTTAAATATGCTTTATTCATATATGATGGTACTTGGCAAAAGTCCTGTTAATGTCAGTTGCTTCTGTTCAGATTTACATTTATAGTCAATTTTAAAAACCACATGAAATTCGGAAGTAATATTAGAATAGTTATCCACCGTTTTGAACAATTCAACAATTCCAAAGTAAAAGTTTAAGATCCTTCGTATATTTAACAAAACTTTTATTAGTTCCTTATCTATGAATAATTAAATTCTCGTTTAATTTTCTTGCGTTGTTTTCAGATTTTCATTACATTTTCTATTTAGTAATTCTCTTTATGTGGTCAATGGCTGAAGTCATTAAATAGAAATGCGATGGCAACTAAATACCCATAGTTAAAAAAATAATCTCAGTAACCACAGACATTTAATGCCCTTAAGTTGTTTTCCATCATCATCATCATCATTGCCAACCAAAAAAAAAAAAAAAAAAACAATATCAGAAGTAAAGCTCAGCTCTTAACCTCAATGACGTTGTGTTCTCTTCCTCTTTTCATCTCTTTGCAGATTTTTAATGACAACGATAATCACAAAACGCTTACTGTAGACTGCTATTATTTCGATATATCTACAACAACAAAAACTGGAAATAACCTACATACATATTATATATATCTATGTATGTCTAGCATATATACAACAAAAGTAAAAGAAAAACAACAACAATTGTAAATATATATTTAATGTATAGATAAATATAACGACAACAACACGGACTTCCTTTTGAATATTCCTAAAACTTTATATACCTCAAAACTCACCCACTCCCCTTCAGAAACAAAGCAAACAGGCAGACAACCGCCACCGCCCTCATCCTCTTCGTCATCATAGAAAATTAAAATAATAACAACAGCACATCAAAACTGAAATAAACAATTAAAAAAACAATAATCTTTGGAAATCGATTATTAGCTACTTGCCGTGGAGTGGTTGGGCAGGGAACACTCGTCCCATCCGGCCATCAGTCTCGCCACCAGCAATGCTTGGCCACAACCTCGACATCAACTTGAAACCCACCTCAGATATTTTGGCCGCCGCCGCTCTACTCGATGTCAGACAATATTTCAATGAACGCGACCTCCTGGACCTGCGCACTTATGGCTATCAGACCAACGACACCTTCCTCCTGCCCGACTACGACGAGGCTGCCGTCAATGCCAAAACATCCGCCAATGTTGTTAATCTGAATAACAGTAATTTCATAATCTTCAACCGAACAGGCTTTGCCAGGAACGACAGCAATAATGACAGTGGCACCATCACAATTAGCAGTCCTAATGATGTGTCGGCCATAAATGGTAATGTCAGCGTCGGCCTGCCAATGCCCGAGGATGTTGTTGTGCTGTTGAAAATGATAAGCATGTCCATTGTTCTGGGTCTAATGATACTTATCACCATAATTGGTATGTATTTAGTAATAGATAGTATAATTTTGTTTTTCTTTTTTTTATTTAAAACTTAAATTGACTTGAAAATTTAGTATATAATTTCAGCTTTATTTTTAAACAAAGAATTTTGAAAATCATGCAATGTAAAAAATTTAAAGTTTTCAGCTCAAAGACATTACTATTAGCTTAATTTCATCAATTGAATTAAACACATGTTAAGGAAGATTTCATTAAGTTTAAACGTAATTCATGCATCTGTTTTTTAAATTTCGCTCATTACTTTAAAGAGTGTCATAATTGATTACATTTAATTTGTTTAGTTAATTTTAGACAAAAATATTTGGTCTTGTATAACGTTTAATACATTTCGGGCGAGAAGAAAGTGGAACGAAAGAAAGAAAGAATTTCCATAATTCCGGTTCAGATATGGGTGTAGCTCTCATTTATATGATTCACCGGTTTTTCTATCACTCTCACATTTTGTGACAAAGGGCAAATAATAAATTTGAAAAAATTCCAGAGAATAATGTTGCTAAAATCATCAAAATGCTGAATATAGGGAGGTACCGATATTTATAGGCTATACGAAGATCTGGATCTGTTTGGGAACTTCAATTTTGATATAATTGCGGTGAACAATGTATCTAAAAACGTCAAAATAACCAATATAGGGAGGTGCAGTTGTATAGGAGGTATACGAAGGCCTGGACTTGCATATGTGTTCCCATTAGGAACTTCAAATATGAAATTTGAAACAAGTGCGGAGAATAATGTAGCTAAAATCATCAAAATACCGAATATAGGTAGGGAGGGATGTACCGATATTTATAGGATCTGTTTGGGAACTTCAATTGTGATATATAATTGCGGTGAACAATACATCTAAAAACATCAAAATAACCAATATAGTGAGGTGCAGTTGTATAGGATGTATACGAAGGCCTGGACTGGCATAGATGTCCCCATTAGGAACTTCAAATACGAAATTTGAAACAATTCCGGTGAATAATGTATATGAAATCATCAAAATACCGATTATAGGGAGGTACCGTTATATGGGGGCTATAAAAAGACGTGGACCTGCATAGCCAATTTTCCGTCAGAGACTGTAGTACCCATTACGAATTATAATTGCGAAATTTGAAACGGGCACGGTGAACAATTTCTCTAAAATCATCAAAATACCGAATATATGGAGGCACAATTATATGGGGCTTTAACTAAACGTGGACCTATATAGCCCATTTTTAATAGCAAAAGTTCTGCAGACGAAACACACATTCGAGTAAAATGTTTTAACCTACTTCATATTCTTGATCAGCGTAAAATTCTAAGACCATTAAGCCTTGTCTGTTGTTGTAATCACGCTGGGGTCAAAACGAATTGAAATAGAACCAGTAAAGAAAGTCCTAAAGTCGGGCGGGACCGAATTTATGATACCCTACACCACTTTGCTAATTTGGTAGAGCTCCACATAACAATTAAAGTTTTTATGGGAGAATTCAATCATACACGCTATGATTATAATTACAATTTAAAGTTCAAAGGACAAAATATGCCGAAGCATTTGTATCTTTTAAATTCGGACTTTTATTGCACATTTGGTGCAAAATTAATTTGAAATCAGATAAATATATATATATATATGGGAGCTATATCCAAATCTGAACCGATCTCGATAAAATTTGGCAAAGATATTTCTGAGCTGTATTTGATATATTTCCCTGAATATCGTTGTTACGGAGTGCATATTACGGCTGTGGGTAACAAATGCAACAAATCGGATGACTAATATATATGGGTGCTAAGGCTATATCTGAACCGATCTTCACTAAATTCGACATACTACCTTCTAGTCTCAATTCGGCCGTAAGTTCCAAATTTCATCCCATTTGGGCAAATACTAGACGTTTGGTGCACAATAAAAGGTAAATCGGTACTTTACTCCCATATTGTGTAGCCCCCATATAACGGCACCTCCCGATATTGATTGCATATAGCCTCCATACATAGGTACCGCTAGATATTCGATATTTTTATGATTTTGGTTGGGTATTTATGTAATTTTCTTGGAATCATTGAAATATCTGACGAAGTTCATAAAACATTTCGAGTAACGAGGGTTCCCCTTATATAGAGATAAGCATTAACGTGGACCTATATAGACAATTTTTCAATTTACAATTATGACTGAGATTTCTATATGTTGCTACTAGCAAGTATTTTGCTACTTCGGTGGTAAAAAGTCCATCTTAAAATTCGTTTCACCAATTCGTGTTAAGCCTTTATAATGCTCAAAATTCACTATTTGTTCAGTTTGATACATTATTTCATCAACACTTCATATAACGTACTAAATTTTCAGACCTTAAAAATTTTATATATTTTTAAAGTTTTTCCTTTTTCTATAAACTCTAGAAACCACCAGTACGAAATTTAGTAACATTTAACAATCTATATGCTAGGCACTGAAAGTGATCCAAAATTCCATTGAAAAATATGGCTAAAATCATCAAAATTCCGAATATCGGGGGGTACCGTAATATGCGGGCTGGACGATATCGTGGACTGATACATCTTCGAACTTAACCTGACTGCAAACAAAATATTGATATGTGCAAAGTTTCAGCTTCCTATCTTTATTCCTTTTTCTCTCTAACGTGATTACAACAGACGGCTACATCGCCTTAGAATTTTATGCTAATCAAGAATATATGTACTTTGTTAGGTCTACCATTATTATTTCGATGAGTTACAACCGGAATAAAAAAACTTAATATACCCTCCATAATATGTATGGTGGAGTGTATACAAATATGGAAACTTGCACCCCCCCCCCCTCTTAAGGTTACTTTGCGATGTACGCGTTCAAAACGCCGTGTGCTTTATTTATAGCCGTTTATTCATAATCTGTTGGATTTGTCCGCTTATCTACGAATTGTTTTTATATTTATTGAAATTTTTATAGAATTATATGTTTACCTTTTATTTAAAAAATTATTTAAAATATTTAATTTTGAAATTTACCAAGGGGAATATTGGTAAAACTATTGCAAAATTATTTCAAAGTCTCCATATGTTAAACTTAGAAACCAAAAGTGACCTCAATATCAAATTTCAGAATTTCAGCTCTGTAGTTTTCCCCATTCCTAAATTTAGTACAATTATAGTACACATATCCAAAACCAGCCCCTTCTTTCAGAAAAATACGCCAACAGCGACATCCATATCGAATTTCTCCTAATACCCAATTTAGGACCACTTAGTCCTTTTCGAACAATTGAACAATTTTAATGTGTACTGTTTCCAATACCACCTCTATATTTTAACCATCTTGTCCACCTCTATTTCAGCTCTATTCCTTCACCCAATACCAATTTTAGTAACATCTACATATCTCAATTCCAGATACCAATAAAGATCTCAATATCTAATTTGAAGATTCCAGTCCTGTGCCATTTCCAAATTACCGCCAGTACCATTCAATACTTTTCACACAATTAAAATACACGTTTCCGAACGAACAGCGACTACATTTCAGATTTTAAGCTCTATCTGTTTAGACATACCAAATTGTACCAAATATAGTACTACTTAGTACTTTTGGTGCACTTGTTTTATCCGTTGCCAAAACCACTTCCTTTTCACTTGCCTACGCATCAAGATAGGCCATCGTGCAAAATTTCAAGATTCTAGCTCCAACTAGTTCATCCAATTGTAGAGTTATCGTACCAAATCTAAAAAAAAATCATATTTGTGCCAAAGATTCATGGGATCTTATCCCGTTAATTAAATATAATTTTAATCGACTAAACTTTCCACTTTTTAGTTGATTCTTTATTTCTCCTCACTGAAATATGTAAATATCTGTGAATTTAAAACATCTAAAGCAGCAGCAGTGCCTGTCTTAATATTAAATTATGCACAATTGTATATACATGTTAACATCCAATACATACAAGACACATGCGCTTTATTCTGAAATTCTCTCACCTCTGTATAATTAGGATTGATTCAAAAACCAATATGTGTGTCAACATAGATGTACACACATACATACATATATCAATGGCGGTAATTAATTTGAACTCATTTTCTCATTGATAATAAATATTTATTATACTGTATAACTTTGTTAAGTCTATTATTAAAGAGGGGAGAAGTGTCATATACGTACGTTATATACATTTCACTTATGACGTCATATATCATTGATTGCCACTAATTACATTTCTATGGGGGGAAAACGAAACAAAATAAATCCAATCCTTGAGGGCATATTAAACAATACAAGTTAAGTGAAGTGTATTTAAATTATTAATTACTAGCTGGCCCGGTCCGCGTTGCCGGCCCGTAGTTTTTGTCTATTATGCATATTTGTCAAAGCATAATTATTCACAGATATGACTGATATAAGTGTTCGCGTACTGGCCGATTAAAAGTGTTTTAAAATACCTGTACCCATATTTAAGCCGTGGGCTTCAATAATTAAACCGTGGGCTTCAAAGGTGTGGATGTGCTAACAAATCTATTAAAAAGTATATAGTATATAAAATTTTTCAGTCAAATGAGCAGTAATTTGGAACTTGCTGTATTTTGTACACCTCATAATTGAGGGCTGAATGAATTAAGAATAGCCAAAGTTAATAACTTTTTTAAAGCCATTAGCACCTCAGATTGTCCATTAGAGTTCTTATAAGTCCCCCTAACCATGTCGGTCTGTTTGTCCGCCAAAATGTGGACTTGAGGGGGTACTATTATATGGAAAAAACTCTAAAATTTGTAGATATGTTGAAATTTTTGTGTAAGATTTTCACCCCCCCAAATACACATTTTTAGCCAAATCCTTTGAAATATGGTAAAATCATCCGAGACATTGACCTACATTAAATGAGTAAAAATAGTTTTATCCACCATATTTTTCATCATTGTATAATTCAATGACGATTCAACAAATATTTGGTCCCGTGCTATTTTCATATATTTGTAATTTGTTCATGTTTCCACAATTTATT